TCTATCTATATATATATATAAAATATGTATATATATGTATTATATATATAAAAATATTCTCATTTAATTTCCATAGTAGCATAATGAAACAGGTAATCTTTCTTCCTATTTTATCAATTTTCTAAAGAAGGATGTCTGACAAAGAAGAATGACACAGTGAGGAAACCAGAGCCAGGATCCAAGCCAGGATCAACAGACTGACTCCAATGCTCGGCCTATGTTGCTAACCTCGGATGGAGTTCAGCCTAACATTCAAGGCAGGAAATGGCTGAAAGAAAACAAAGTGATCACCAAAATAGGGATTCTTACTTTTTGTTGAATCTTAGACTCCTATCACAACTCTATGAAAGCTATAATTCCTCTCCTTGGAAAAAAGCCTATATGTTCACTATTTTGTGTGTGAATGTTTTGGAGATTTTCAAACTTCTTAAAACTAAAGCTATGAATCTTTGGCCTGAAGGTTGTTACTCAAGGACTCCAGATCACAGAGAGGACTTGACTGGGGCGTTGTGCATAGAAATGTCTCCTTAGCCCAAACAATCCAGCTGACACAAAGTCTCTAATATAAGCAAGTATTTAAAATCATAGATTTGATCCATAACAGGATTAGTCAAAATGGAGATCCCAAATTGTAAAGATATTGTTAAAGAATACAAATTCCAACCTGATTCTTGCAGTATCCTTTAGAGAGCCCACGGTTGTATCTAAGTTAGGAGGAAGAAAGGTTGCTAGAATCATAGCACCCTACAGTAAGGCTATGCACCTTGGTCATGACCTTGAGGCCAAAGGAATTGGCTCAGACAGTCCCAAACTGAGTAGCCATTTCACAGACAGCCCACAGCCCAGCAGGTCACTGCTCTCTAACTCTGTCATCATGACACTGCCATCTGCAGCAACTGAGCTGAGATTGCTCAAGACCAAATTTATCACACCCAACATTCCATTCTTACATAAGAATCACCTGCCGCTGGTGCATAAATTTCAGCACCTAGCAGAGCCAAGGGTAATCAAGATTTAAAAGGAAGGGGCCTGAATAAATATCAAGCAGATTTCCTCTCTGTGGGGCTGAGTTCTGAAAAATCTTTGTGCCCTCACATGCACCTCGAAGGAGACTGTCATTTTTCGACTTTCTGTCTGCATTGTTATTGCGGGGAGTGGGGGCAGGGCAGATGATGCTGTATGAGCCACAGGCAATCTGTCTTCTTGGAGGTTCTGTTCAAGCTATGACCTCGGTTCTCTCCAGTTTATGTCTCTCCTCACAAATTTCAGTTTGCTCTCATCACCAACTAAATTAACCATAAAGCAAAGCCTTCTCTCACATTACTGAAGCCCAAGAGGAATCAGTCCAAGCCTGGAGCTGGGCCTCTCTGTACTAAAGGCAGTGGCTAGCCTAAGGGGAAATGTAGGAATGGCCCTCACATCCCTGTTTATAAAGCACTTTGGGTTGCCTAGAAGATTCCCATTGCTTGAGACTTCAGAGCGGAGGTACAAGTGTTTGCTGAAAGCTACAGAAGGAGGTAGCATTGTTTAAGGAGTGATAGGATTGAGATAACCATTGGTGGTAGAGAGGGCATAGGGAAGAGGGTTTCACCTCCACCAGAAAAAGGGCCAAGAAAATTACCTACAGCTCTGTTTGGTGCAATTTGGGAAGATGATATTAGGCTTAACAAATATCTGAAAAGGCTTGACTCTATGACCTTGGCCAGTTTCCTCCTCCGAGTTTCCATTTGTATGATGTAGGAATAGAGGGAAGCTTCTTCCTGCACCAGCATGCCAAGATGGAAGGTGGAAGAAAAGGCCTTTGAAGCCAACATAATTACTCCTCTGTCCAGGGAAATATAAACAACAATAACTGCAACAGCCTTCAGCTCTACTTTTTGAATGAGTTCTTTGCTTCTGTCTGAGAGGTAAAGTAGTTCATTCCTCGGGGAAAAGTTGAATGTGGAATGGCGGGCCATGCCCTGCTCACTTTAGTTTCGTGATGTCACACTGAATCATTAGTAATACAAAGAACATTCAATAAAATTTCACTAAGTCTCCAGCATGTGCCTAGGGCTGCAGTAGGTCCTGTAGGGTAGATAAAGAAAAGTGTGCGACATGTTCAGAGGGTCTTCAAGCCCCTTAACATTTTCTCAAAGGTTTACACGTTCTGTTTTTAAAAGCCAAGCACAAAATGAGCTATTATGTTTTAAAGGTCTGTTTTTTAAAAATAAATATTACTTCTGTCTACTAATAGGAGTCAGCGAGTTTGATCAAAAATTGGCTTGTTTTTATGCTCTTACTAGTACATTCTGCACATGTTTTATTTATCTTTGCTATGCGTGTCTATGAGACGCTCTGCTTTGGCATTTATAGGGCATACATTGGCTTGGATTCTGGTTAGATGCCTCTAGGTAAAGCACAAATAAGTCAATCAAGAAACTTTTGAATTTTCAAACAAATGCATGCTTATACATTTTGAAGTTCCACTCCAGTGCAATCACTGTATGACATGAAAGCAAACTAAAGGAATTGTTTTTTTGGAAGCTGTCCTAATTCCTAAGTGTGCTCATTGGTTAATAGTTCTGCACATCCTTGGAATACCAAATGCTACCTCAAGCTAATTCCCAGTGACCTGCTGTTATTCTTTGGTGTACACTTATTTTTATGCCAAGTAGATAGATGGTCAGTAATGTCATCTTCCCAGACTACTTTGTTTCACTTTGAAGTTTTCTAAGACAAAGCACTTATCAGTTTGTTGTGACAGTCACTTCCAGAATATACCTTGAGTACAAAACAGAACTTTTCTGGTTGTAAAAATGATCCAAATGAGGTCTCTCTTTACAATGCAATCTGTCTTCATTATTACCTGAATGCGCTTGTCCTAAAGGTTCTGTATGAATATATTTGTGTAATTTCCATTACATTATGACACATAGAATAGCTATTCATAGGATTTTCTGGTCACATTCCATATTTCTAAGAAGTTTTCTTCCAATAATTTAAAGAACTATTTTTGAACCTTAGGTATTCAGAATTGACTATACTCTTCAATTCATGAAATATCAAGGCATGTTGGGTCTATGGTGAACAATAAGAATAGCATGTATTTAGGGTGACCAACCCCCTTGGACTTTCCCAGGATATAATACTTGCCATGTGAATTCTCCAGGCAAATACAGAATAACTCCATCATCCCAAATATATGATAATTCCCCATTTATAAGGACCACACATTTCAGTACCTAGCAGAGCCTAGAATCACTTTGTTAGGTAAACAGAGCGCAGCATTTTGCTCCTCTCTACTGTAGTTTCCCCAAATACAAATTAGAGATATGGGACTGAGTCCTCTGGGGTCCAACAAGACCCTGTTTACAACTAGACAGATCCCTAAAACTTCTTCTACACCTTAATTTCACCTTGAACTTGAAGAAAACCCATGTCATCATTTGCCTGTTGGTGCACTACCATTCCAAAGTGCTAGCTTGAAATAACACAGGCAGCAGTGAATGGGGTCTTTGTCCTCGTCACATGTTATTCAGGAAGAGTAACATTGCCACTTTGTGATTTGAGGGAGCAGAGTGACTGAGATGTTATAATTGTCATAGTTTTCAAAAGCAGAGGAAACAGGTATAACTTCTGTTTATCTTTCTAATTTCTTTAAGGAGAAAGAAAAATCACAATTCTTCTTGGTTTTTTCTATCTTTAGCTATGCTTCTAGTTCTATGCTGAAACTTTCCTAAACCTCTCTAGTTCTAAACTGGCCTTTGAGGACGTGGATGAACAACTTTTTTCACTACTGAGAAGGGTTCAGGGTGGGGAAGTAAACCCTTCATATATTTGCACACAGATATTTTCATAATAAATTCGTAATGGAAATCCAGCAGATACACTAACTATCCCTCATCCTGACTGCTTCTATTTTATGAAACAAGTCAACTTAAATAAACCTCAGGAAAAATGACCAGGTGAACATTTTTTAAACCACAATATGGTAAAAGCTAACATTTACCAGGGGTTTACTGTGTACCTTAGTGCTGGATTTGGGCCATTAAACTTCACAATAATAATTCCTTGAAGAAACAACTATTGCTCCCATTTCACAGGAAAGAAAAATGAGGCTGAGGGCGGTTAATTAATTCACCAGTACACACTTGGTAAGGTTGGAGTTTGGATTTAAGCCCATGCAATTTGATTCTAAAATCAGTGCTTATAGCCACCTGCCACATTAAATAATAAAAGCAGCTAGCTGGTGTCCCTGTACAAACAGGACCCCAATGTCTAAGTGCTGAGAAAGCTCTTTGTTAGAGCAGACCTAAGGCTGACCAGAACACACGTGCCTGTGAAGCACAACACGTGTGTCTGTCTACCTATTTAGGTCAAAAGGTACAGGCTTTCTGGCCGTAGGTATTAAAGGATCTGAAGAAAGAGATTGTAATCTGTTGATTAATTCAGAAGTAAGATATATTGTCCTGCCAATCTGCTATGTTATTTCTTCAGTACTTCTATTGCCCTTCCTGAAAATGCAGATGATATTTCCTAGGTGTCTATGAGAAATGTCTGGGTAAAATAATGGAAAAGAACAATGCAAACTGTAAAGTGCTTTAAAACAATTATCCCATATGTTAAGCCATTTCCAAAATAGCAATTTCTTCAAATGCCCTTGCAAAGCAAATGAGACACAGCTGCTAGAATGCTCTGCAAGGAGACGGAAATCCAGCTCTTTCAAACATTCAAGGGGAAAATACACACCGTAAAATTGCCCCAAAGATGAATTTTGCAAGAAGCATAGAAGTGTCATCAAAATTTTCAGTGGTTAATTCTAAAAGAGTGCCTGCATTGCAAAGATCAAATGAGGTAGTTCTTCAACAAAGAAACTTGAGGAAATACTCTTCAATGACCCTTGCATAAAAGTTAGAAATATAAATGACACTCACCTAATGAGCAGGAGTGAGGAAACCAAGTTTACCGGCTCTTCTCCACTTTTTCCAAAGACAAGTCTGTTGGGGAAAAAAATAAGGAGGCTGTTTAAAAGAAAAAAAAAAAAAGAAGGAAGGAAGGAAGGAAGGAAGGAAGGAAGGAAGGAAGGAAGGAAGGAAGGAAGGAAGGAAGAAAGAAAGAAAGAAAGAAAAGGAAGAAAGGAAGGAAGGAAGAAAAAAGAAAATCAAAGAAAGGATGAGGTGTCCGTGGAATGCTGCGAGGCTTTGGGAGTGACTCAGCACTTGCCAAGGGACAATGACAATTAAGAGTTTGTTGAAAGAACTCTAATAAAACTCAGCATTCCCTGTAATCTCAGAACAAGATTGTACCACTAAATAAAATGTACAGCCCTGCGTTTGGGGGGCTGTGGTGTGACAGAAGTTGCTTGGGGGTGATGGAACTTGGGGATGAGTCACAAACTCCTCAGATGGAGTTGCCGGAAGCGGCAGGAAGCTGGTTGGGTCTCTGCCCTCTTCCTGGTGTCTCTCCCTCTCTCGAGGGATTTCTGCCCTTTTACAATAAGCCAAAGGGAACAGCGAGCTGGCCAATGGGCAATGAGAAATTGTGGAACAAGCAAAACTTCACAGTCACTTGTAGCATAAAGAATAACACGTATACATTGTATAAACAAATCCCAAGATGGAGAGGAGGAAAGATGTTGGCTGAATCTCTGGGCCCTGGAGAATCATTAGTGCAGATGCCTGTCTCTGGATGGAGGAGCAGTTAGGTTATCCAAGATGGATGCTAAGCAGATTTTTTTAAATTCTTTGGGGAGGAAGAAAAATCACAGTTCTTCTTAGTAGCTAATTTCTATCTTTAGCTACTCTTTTAGATCTTAAGTTCTGTTCTGAAATGTCCCTAAACCTCTCCTGTTCTAAACTGGTCTTTGAGGACATAAATGAACAACTTTTTCACTGTTGAAAAGTGTGTGTGTGGCCAGGGGTAGACGTGCGGTGGTTTGGGTGAGTTAACCTTTCATATATTTGTACATAGATATTTTCATAATAAACTCATATAATGGAAACTTAGGTGTTGATTTTCTCCCTTTCCTTCCTGAAAACTCCCCATTCCACCCTACCCCTGTCCCAGGTTATAGAAAGGAAAGGAAAAAAAAAATGTATGCCCTGATATCATTTTTTCTATTTCAGGGGGCCAAGTACAGGCTGAGCGAAGAATTTATCTTTTCACATCTTAAGGCAAAAGAAAAAAAATTAAAAAAATAAAAAAACATCAATAAAAGGATTAAGAATTAGAGATTTGCCATTTCTCTTAGGTTTTCAAAATGCTTGCGTTGATTTTCTTGTTCTAGAATAAATTCAGGTGTAAAACAAAATTGTTTAAATTGTACTGCCCCCCCCCAATCTGTTCTTCATTCATAAATGAAGCTGCTCAGTGCTTAGAACTGATTGCCATAAACAAAAGGGGTATAAAAATTTCCAAAGAGCGATCAACACCAAGCTTCTATAATGTGGCTCTCCCCTTTCAAAAAAAGAGAAAGTTATTCTTGTAATTGATATTCTTCTTTTAAGTAGAAAAGAATTAGATTGTGTTGAACTCTCTCTCTTTCTCTGTGTCTATGTGTCTGTCTCTCTCTGTCTCTATTTCTCTCTTTCTGAATCTCTCTGCCCTTCCATTTTGGAGTTTCTGTCGGAAGAAGGAAGGAATGCTCTGTTTTTAATCAATCAGAACAGTACTAATTTGAATTTGAAACATTCAGGTTCCAAGGAAACTAAACTTCAGTCTTATGGAATGGGAAGAGCCTTCCCTTTTATCAGACAAAAAGTGTGCTTTTCCTTTCGTCCTTGACCTATGTCAGTACCAAAAAAATGAGCCATCCGTCTGCACATGCATGTTCAGAAGCAGGAGCTGAGTCCCATGACCAAGAGCAAAGTAAGCCGACTCCTTGATTCTGACCAAGCCAGTAACTTGCATTTGAGTTAGGGTTGGATTTAGATGAGCAATTCAATAACTGTATAGTGAAAGGAAGACTAGGGGCTTAGGAATCAAATCCCACAGTGACCTTGGTAAGGATTTTGCTCTTTTATGGGCAGCTTAGTAGATAGGGTCAGTCTTTTAATTTACTTAACAATTTGCAGAGAGCTTTCCCTTTGTAACACTTAATCGTTTCTCCTCAACTCAATTTCTTCATCCATACAATTGGGTTAATACAACTTCTTGTACAGGGCTATCATAAGACCTAAATAAAATGTGTATATAATAAGATGCTTACTCTAGTGCCTGGCACATAAGAGCTTAATGATTGTTTCTCGTCCACCTTGCCCTTATGTGGTTCTGCCGTTAAACCTTGGTTCTCAATAGTGTCATATTGGCTATAGTCCCCTTCTCTCCTGCCCACCCCCCAAAAACAAACATAGCTAGCTGAAAACAGCCCACTAATTTTGACAACCTTATTGGTCTTTCCAAAGGAACCTTGTCACTTTATACCTATTGTAACAATTTATTGGACATTTAGCATGAGCCATAAATTGTGATAAGTGTTTTACATGGATAATCTCATTTCATTTCCCCTACCACCTTAAGAGTTCAATATTATGGTGATTCCCCTTTTGCTTTAAACTAACTTGACCACCACTGTGAAGGAATTCCAAACGTATTTTTAAATATCTATCTTTTATGTTTTATTATTGCAATGGACTGAAGGTTGTGCCTATCTGAACTCCATTTATTGAAATATTAAACCTCAAAGTGATGGCATGAGGAGGTGGAAGCTTTGAGGGAAAGCTAGGTCAAGAGGGTGGAGCCCTCCTGAATGGGAATAGTGTGGTTATGAACAGAACCTGAGAGAGTTCTCTTGCCCTCTTTCCACCACGGAGGATACAGTAACAAGTGGAGAGTATGTGACCCAGAAGAGGGCTCTAACCAAATGTGACTCAGGTGAAACCCTGATTTGGGGTTTCCAGACTCCAGAACCAAGAGAAATAAATTACTATTGCTTATCAACCACCCAGTTCACAGCATTTTGTTCTAGTAGCTCAAACTAAGACAAGTATCGTCATGGCAAAGCATTCATGCAGTGGCTTCCTGAGTTGTGTTTTATAAATTTTGTTCCAGGATAATTTCAATCCTCCAAAAATGTGATTTGGCTGTTGTTGTGTTTGATTTGTTTTGCCCCAGAGAAGAAGGAATTTAGATGAAGGGGTCCTCTATCTCTCTCTTAAATCACACGGGTCCTTCCTATCTCTGATTTAAGTTTAGAAACTTGTCATGAATAGACAAAACTCCTATTTATGACTCTTGAAGAACTGCAGCCAATTACTACACAGTGCCAAACTGGCAACCCTGAGAAGATGGTAATGATCACCAAACTCCTTGAGAGGAAGAGCAAGGACAGCTGAAAGAATGTTCTCATAGAAAGTACACACATTGAACAACTAGAAATGTACAGACGCTGGTTCACATAGAATTGGAAAGTAAAAACTTTCCCTATAAATACTCCTTATTGTGAATAAACTTGAAGGTTAGGGGAGCAGTGAAGCACATCTCCCCGAGATAGAGAAACATTCACCAGGAAGGGTCTTAAGTTGAACAGACATGAGATTCCCATTTCAGAACCTCAGTCAAGCGGTTCCTTTAAAAAAATTCCTGAAATGGAACATTATGGCATACTTTCTATATTATGCTTGGCTTCGCTTTATTTTTTTAATAAATATTTGTTCAGGCATATGCTTGGCCCTTATTTTCTTTTGATCAATTTTTGAGATTTTAGGAGATAATGTTTCCTACTTCTAGGGAAACTGAAGGAATCAAAAGAGATTTTATACATGGTCTCACCATTACATCTAAATTCCCCACCAGCAGTATCAGTACCTTAGACATGTCAGTTACTATCAATGAAAATATCCTATCTCCTCTCCAAAGCCAAATCTTCCCCTTGGACACTAGACACTTTCATTATTTGCCAACCCGACAAAATTGCTTAAGGAACTCTTTCTATCTTTTCTAAAACATTAATCTGTTCCTCTCTTTTAGAACATTCCCATCAGCATGCAATCATATAGTAATTTGTCCTAGCCAAAACAACAACAAAAAAGCAGATCCCCTAGCTTGGCCCTCCCTTTCCCACTTGTTTCCGTCCCATTTCTTTGCTTCTTTTTGCAGGAAACTCAGAGTTGGCCTTTTTTCAGTTTTCATTTCCTTGCAAACATTCTCTCTTAAGCTACTTAAACCTGTTACAGTCACTGTTACAGTCACTTTTGTTCTTGCTCAGGTCACCCGTGATGCCCAGTTGTGAAATTTAATGAACCATTTGCAGTCTTGCTCTTACCAGATTTATTGGGAGCATTCGACACTGTTTTTCAAGTCCCTCTACTTGATATACTTCTTTACCTTGGGTTTTAGGGTACTGAGCCGTCCTAGTTTTCCTTCTACCTCAATGATATCTCTTTGGTGTCCCTGATGATGGTTTCTTTCTTTTTTCTTGCCTTTTTAATGCCAGGGAAGCCCAGGGCTGAGAGTCCCTGTCTTCTTCTCTTTATTATCCACAGCCATACATTTGATAATCCTATCTAGCCTCATAGTTTGTAAAGCCAACATACTGATGACTCTGAAATCTCCATTTAGTTCCCCCCAACACACAGTTCTTCTTACAAGCCTCACCTACACATGATTCACAACCAACTTGACCTCTACAATCAGGTGTCTAATGGTCATTTCATATTCAGTGTGTTCAAAACCCAAAATCCCAGAATTCCTACAAACCTGCTCTCCCTATAGCCATCTCCATCAACACAAATGTCATCTTTCCAGTTGTCAAATCCAAAACTCATTTTTTCACTCATACTCTACATGCAATCTGTCATGACATTCTGTTGAGTCATAATTCCAAAACAAATCTGAAATCAAATGACTTTCTACTACAACCACCATTGACCAACCCATAGGCTGAGCTACATCATCTACTGCTTTGGCTATTGGCGTAGTATTCTAAGTAGCCTCTTAGTTTCTTACTCTTTCAGTCTAGTGTCAACATAATTTCCCAAGAGATCCTTCTTAAAAAGTCAACTCTTCCTCAATACCTTGCAGTGAATTCCATTCTACTCATATTAAACCCAAGTCCTTTTGCAGTGTACTATAAAATCTTATATGGTCTTCCCCTTGCCTCTCTGTTTTCTTTATGGTCTCATACTATCCTTAGCATTCTTTCCTTCAGCCACACTGACCCCTGCTCTTCCTTAATAGGCTAGCATATGCTTGTCATTGGACCTTTATACAGGCTGGATTCTCTGTCTGTGACATTCTCCCCCAGGTGTACACTTGTGGTCTCACCTCCTTCAGATCTTTGTTCAAATGATACCTCTATTTAAAATGGCAACTGTGCACACAACCCTCCCCTGCCAGCTAGCCCCTGCCATTTTGAACCTCACTATTCTGCTTTAATTTTCTTTTTCCCATAGCATTCTCTACCAGGAATATAATATATTGATTTATGTATTATGTTTATTGTGTGTCTTCCTTTGCTAGAATGTAGGTTCTGCAAGGGCAGGGACTGATGTCTGTCTGGGTCACATCTTTTCCTAAACCCCTACAATAGTGCTTTCATGTGAAGTTACGGAGTGCTGAGCTGAATTGAATGAAATGAAATGGGCTTCCAAAGAAAGAATGTGAATTGAGAGCATTGTGCCTGTATAAAATAAGAACTTAACTTAAAACAGCTTCATAGAGGATTATTTTCCAGTATCTAATTAGATTATAAAGCAAGAAGGCAGGACACCTGAATACATGCCCATTCATTGGCAAAGAGATGACAACCTAAAATGACAACCTGGAAGAAAATGGAGATAGAGCTTCCCTCATTTTTTTTTTATTTTAAAATTCAGTCAACATATTTTCAGATGACTCAAGAATATGTTTGGAATAGATTATACTAATGTATCTCACAAAGTCACAAAAACATTAAAGGATTAATTTAAAAATGAAAACAAAAATAATTCTGACTTTTTCTAATGTTCATTGTAGTTCAACACAAACTCTGTGACCCATAGATGTCTGCCTGTGGTTTGTGCCACTGATATCTAAGTCCCATTTCATTAAAGAAGTTTCAAAAAGAGTAGCAGTCCACAGAAAGTTTATTTTTGCCAGCCTTGGAAATCTTTCTTAAGGAAAATTGAGTAGCAAGCACAATGTTCTCAATGTGTGACCACTGTACCTACAACATTAGTGCCACCTGGGAACGTGGTATAATAAAAAATTGTTTGGGCTCCATCCCAATCTAGACTTATATAAGAAACTTTGAGGATAGTACTCAGCCATCTGTGATTCTTCAAGTTCTCCAGGTGATTCTGATGCCTACTCAGGTTTGTGAACTGTTGATGAAGCAAAATTGTTCATATGCAAGTTCACAACAACTTCTGTAACAAGGTAACACTAAAGTACAGACTTCTTTCATTGACAAATGCAACTTATTTTCTAGGTCATCCAGCACCCAATAACGAGTCAATGGACTTCTCTCTTTAACTAACCTTTGTGAAATACTCTTTCTGGGCAATCTGCCTCAGATTAATGAGAAAGTGGAAGACTACTCCCATAGTCCAGAAGACTAATTTAACAATTTCACAATGCTCTGAGATGCTTGGCTCTAGGCTCTTCCTGCCAAGATTTATGAATCCAGATTTTAACAAACCATTTCTCAACATGTCTTCGAGCTGCAATTCCATTTCAACAGTGAAGATGACCACAGTGGAATGTGAACTCAGGGAAAAACATATGCTGGGAATTGTAGGAATTTGTCAAAAAATGACTTACTAATTAAAAATTTTTAGTCCAGAAGTAGGTCACCAAGATCCCCTTTGCTTTGATTATTCACACAAATCCTGTCAGTTTGTAAATTATTTACTTAATGGCTAAAGCATCCTCTTGTCTAAAACAGATTTTCCTTAAGGTGCAATCTCCTAGGGCTCTCACATTCCTCCTACTCCTTTTAAAGTAGGCAGGGATCTCATTTTACAGATGACATAGCAGAAGCATAGTGACCTAAGGCCATATTATTATAGACAAAGTCACAACCAAGTCTCAAATTCTTTAGATTTTCTTATAGGTGTCAATTCAATGTGATAAGCATGTATTAAACACCAATTCAGTGCCAACTCTTAGGGATAGGAATTTACAAATGTATGACACTGCTCCTGCCTTTAAAGAGCTCAATGTGAGGGACACTGTTACCCTGATGAATTAATGCCTGCCTTCATCTAACTTTGAACTCCAGTGATGCAATGATAGAAATAGTAATGATTATTAACTTATTTTTTATTTACAAATTTTTATTGGTGCATTATAATTATACATAATGATGGGATTTTTTGTTATTCATTCATACACACACATAATATAACAATATAATTTGGCTAATATCACTCCCTAGCACTCCTCCCCCATCCCATCTCTTTCTTCTACTGGTCTGCCTTTGATTTTCATGAGATCCCTGCCCCCCTCACAAGACCTTTCTTTTCCTTTTTCCTCTTTAGCTTTCACATATGACAAAAAACATAAGACCCTTGAACTTCTGAGTTTGACTTATTTCACATAACATAATGGTCTTGAGTTCTACCCATGTTCCTGCAAATGACATAATTCCATTTTTATGGCATAAAACTTCATTGTGTACATATGCTACATTTTCTTTATCCATTCATTCGTTGATGGAGACCCAAGGCTGGTTCCATAATTTGGCTATTGTGAATTGTGCTTCTATAAACATGGATAAGCATGTATCACTGTAGTATGATGATTTTAGTTCTTTAGGATAAATACCAAGGAGTTGTGTACCTGGGTCATGTGGTGGTTCTATGCCTAGTCTTTTGAGGAACCTACATAAAGAACCTAAAAAAGATTGAGGTTGTACTAATTGACAATCCCACCAACAGTGTAAAAGCATTCCTTACTCTCCACATCCTCCCAAGAGTACTGATTTCTGCATTGAAGAAGTCTTAGAGCGGCATGAATTGCATCACAAGGCCCTCACATTGAACACCCATCATTTAATCCAAGCACCAAGACGTAGGACATCATATGCTATTAATATTTAATAACAGAACAAAATGTAGGGATATAATGTGAAAAATGATAAATCTATAGAAAAACAATGGGAATTAGAGTCCAATGTCAAAAGGAATAAAAGCTAACTATGACCAAATTACATTTTATAATTAAACAACAACATGAAGTTTAGATGGCACAAAGACTTGTTGGAACTGGCCTGTAACCTCTCCCTTGTCCTGGTCCCTGAGTGTGAGATTGAGTTTGGAGGTCTACACTCTCAGAAAACTAGCAGGTCTGCTTAGAAAATGTTCAGGTTAAGTCAGGTTAAGTCAGTAACTTTATGTGACTGAGAACTGGAGACCAAGTTCAGGGCTCCTCTCTAACATATGCTGTCTTTCTAACCAAAGGTAAAATTTTGGTTATGGAGACAGGTAGAAGAAAACTAAAACAAAAACAAAAACCTCAGACAGGATGTTTTGAGGAAGTTAAAGTTTTCCATAAAGCAAGAAAAGTTATACAAATATGGCCATATTTATCCATTTAGTCAACACTTTAAGCACCTGTAATGTACTCTTAGTGACACTAAGTACTGGGGGTACCCAAGTGTACAAAGTGCTGGTGGTTTTGTTTCTATTATTAGACTACCTGGGGAACATCCTCAGAACAGTAGCCCCAATGACCTGAAGTCTAGACAAAGTGACATAAGAGAGCTTTGTCAGTAAGTTGGGATTTCCTTGTTAGAAAAATTAAAAAGTAAGCTTTAATAACTTAACATTTTTACAGTGTCATTTTAAGACAAGCTTGGGTCAGACTATATGAGAGTGACAAAAGAAAAGAGAGCCTCCTCTTGCAGCAGCAGACAAAAAAAAAAAAAACTGAAAGGGAAGAGATTAGGAAGACAAGACTTGTTATTTTTCCTGGAGCACTAAAGCTGGTTATTGAAAAACGCTGTTGAATTCCTCTGCTGAAGATCTTTTGAAAGTGATTAGCTAATTCTCTTTCTTAATGGGTTTAAAGCTATGACTAAAAGTGGGGTGCTAGGAAAGTCACTTTCTTGAAGTTCCACTTCCAGAACTCTGTGAATGGTAACTCGATGGTGATGAAGCTGTTTTCTTCTCTCTCCCTTATTTGGCAGGCATGTCTAATTCCAGATTTGGAAACTCATCGACATTGCTATGAAATGTATCATAGACCATGACTCATTATGAAAAGGACAAGTGTGTAGATTGCCTTACCAGTGAAAACTCCTCTGCCAGTCCTTCCCGTTCTTCCTGGGACAAGACTTCGCTTCTTTCTCTCTGATTCATATCCTGAGGAAATCAACATGACACAAAATGGCTGTTTTCAATAAAAAAAAACATCTCCAGCCCACACTTTGAGAACATAAGCTTTTTAAAATCCAGATGACTTGTTATCTTCTCTTTCCTTCCAAAAAATCTGGTGCCACGTGGGATAGGTACAACAGTCCGAAAGCCATTCATGCAGTGAGCGTTCTACATTAAATTTCTTTAGCCAACAGATCTACAAAAAGCATCTGCTGTGGTAGACCATTTTAAAGGTGGGAATTAGCAGAAGAAAGAACAAAAAGTTACTTGAGCCCATGGGCATCAGACATGCTAGATTCCCTTCTATAGTAATAGTTAATATCGAGTGCTTGCCAGGTGTCCTAAGTTTTCCTGGCATCATTTCATTTAATCCAAGCTACCACATGAGATAAATTCTACTGTGGACCCCAACTCACACACCAGGAAAATGTGTGAGCTCTGACAGGTTAACTCATTTGCTCAAGATGATGTCACAAGTAATAAGCAGAGATGACCCAGCTATCCCACTCCTTTGTCTATACCCAAAGGACTTAAAAACAGCATACTACAGGGACACAGCCACTTCAATGTTTATAGCAGCACACAATTCAATTCAACCTAGATGTCCTTCAATAGATGAATGGATAAAGAAACAGTGATACATATACCCAATGGGATATTATTAAGCATTAAAAGAAAACAAAATTTGGGCCTTTGCAGGTATATGGGTGGCATTGGAGAATATCACGCTAAGTGAAATAAGCTAATCCCCCCAAATTAGGGGCTGAATGTTATCTCTGATAAATGGATGCTAATCCATAATGGGGGGGGATGGGATGAGTGGAGGAAATTTGGATGGGGCAAAGGGGAGGTGCTGAGGGGGCAGGGGGGTAAGAAACATGATGGAATGATATGAACATCATTACTCTAAGTACATGTATAATTGCATGACTGATGTGACACTACTTCTTGCACAACCAGAGAAGTGAAAAATTCTCCATTTGTGCACAATGAATCGAAGAGCTTTCTACTGTCATGTATAACTGATTAGAACTAATAAAAAAAAGCAGAGATGAGATTCAAACACATAACTATTTGAAAACAGAACCTAAGTATCTATTGCTCATCTAGAACTTAATTAAGAAAGGTAGATACATATTCCTCAGAAGACTAGGAATGGACTCAGCTACCCCATTCCTTGGTGTTTACCCAAAAGAAATAAAATCAGCATACTCTAGTGATGCAGGCATATCAATATTTATAGCAGGGCAATTAGCAGTAATGAAACTATGGAACCAGCCTAGAACACACAAATGAAGAAAGAAAATGTAGCATATATACACAATGAAGTCCTACTTAGCCATAAAGAAGAGCAAAATTATGTCATTTGCTGGTAAATGAATGGAATTGGAGAATTCATGCTAAATAAAATAAGACAGACTCAGAAAGTCAAGGGTCTAGTGTTTTTTCTCATATGTGGAAGCTAGAGAGAAATAAGGAATTTAACAAAGTGGGGGTCCATGAAAGTAGAAAGAACAGTGGAAGAGTGAAAGAAGCTTGAGTGGGATAGAGAAGGGGAGGAACTGAGGAAAGAAATTAACCAACTTATGTTATCACAGTGAATTCCACTTTTATGTATATCTATAAAGTACCAATTTAAAAATTAAAAATGGAATATCAGTAGAGTATGAAAGGGGAACATGAGGGGAGAGAAAGGGGAAGTGCTAGGGATTAAAATGGAGCAAATTGTATCACATGCATGTATGATATGTCAAAGAGTCCCACTATTATGTATAGCTATAAAGTTCAAATAAAAAATATTTTAAAAACAAGGAAACATTGATAAAACATCGCCATTATGTACATGAGAAAATGGAAGAGAAGATAAGTAACCTGATCAAGAGCATGAAGATTACTGGTATTTTTGGTCTGGGATCTGAACTCAGGTCAGCAGGCTCCAATATTCATGTTCTGATCAGATAAAGAAAACACCAGGAAATTCACATTCACTCCATGTAAATTATTCTTAAACCAATTCAAATAAACCCATGCTACTCTACACAACACTGCATGTGAGACTCCAAAGACAGTATGAGAGAATTGAATACACTGTACTTGCCTCCAATGAACTTAATTTCTAGTTGGCAGAGAAAACACACAGACGAATGAACTGAGATTGGTGGTGCTGAATTGTGTCGCTATGTTTTAAATAACACCCTATGAGCTGAATGAATGCTGAAGAGATGCTGGGAGAAGCAGTAATTAGGGAAGAAGAAAGCTGATCTAGAAAGGCTTCTTAGAGGAAATATAAAATGTTATGTGTGATGAGTGGAGTGGATCCCATTGTTTGATGTCTTCCTGGCTATTTTGTAGACAGGGAGAAAAATACTTTGGAGAGCCCATGGAAAGAAAATACAATCTTGGCACTTATTGGGGAGGTTCTATTTAAGATATGGCCCACGATCACAGAGCAATGAAAGGTCGAAAGAAAGGAAAGAATTTTTCTGTGATTACAGTTAAAACTACTAGTAATCACTTTTTCCCTTGGCTGGTAGGTTTCCAGAGGGTCCCATAAAATACAAACTATGAAAGTTGTAAATCAAATTCATACTCATTCTTTATAAGAAAAGGCAAAAGGGCAAAGGGAAGGGAGGGGAAGACTCAGTTTCAACATTTTCAAGGGATTTTCCATGAGATCTATTGAGTCTAATGGAAAAGAAGAATTTTTTTTTTAAGAAAAATTTAATTTTTAAAAAATTTAATTTTGGAACTTTTTTGGATGAATGGACTCAAATGTTGATTGCTTATTTCAGCACTCCTCCCCCCAGACCTCCAACTTAATAAAGAAGGGGCTTGGGATAGTAAGCATGTATTCCCTATTTACAAAATTTATCTAAGCCATCTCCTACTTTTCTTTCACCTCAGGCATGGACTTCAACCTTCTTTTTATTTACTGAGACTTTTCTAAGGATAGCATTTTCCTACTATCTGCAAACAAGAGGTGTTCAAGATGCTAATGAGTATTACTAACTAAAACAGTTGTAAAGTCAACTCGGGAAAGACAAGTTCAAATGCACTTCAGATCTGCTCAAGTGCATTTTGTTTCTGTAATGGAGACACACTCAGAATTTCTTAAACTTGTCTGAATGCCTCCTTATTTTATGAAACTTGTATTCCTATCTCATGGACCTGCTGTTCCATGAAAGGAGCCAGGTTCTCCTTCCTTACACGTTTGGCAGAGGTAGATCCAGGTGGATGGAATAATGGTTGCAAACAGAGGAGTACCAACTGGCCATGACCATGACTGATACCTAGGAGTTCTGGGTCTCCACGTCTAGGTTCTCTGCATTGATTCATCAGTGAGTGAGAGTGAGTGACAAAGCTCTAATGTCTCATTGCACGCTCTTCACTGCCAGCCTCATGGAAGGGTGCTGCCACCATTCACCCCTGTAATGTTCAGCTCAGGATGGGCATCAGTGGGGAACAAGGGAGACAAGCAGGAAATTCTGTTCACAAGAGAGCAGAAGGAACACATGGAGCAAAAGTTTATCTGCACCATGAACCTGAAAACATCACATCAATTGCATTTTAATGCTTCACACACAACCTCCGACATGCACTCAAAAGAGTTCAGATTCCTTTGGCAGATCGTTCTTTTGGATATACTTCCCTGTCCTCTCCCACACCTGACCAGAGTATAAGACCAACTCACACAGAATATAAAGGAACCCACTCTTCTCTACAACCACTTGTCTGAGTGTGAATTTAAATGCCACCGTTGTTTATCACCATGTACAGAGGAGGAAACACAGACACTGCAGGACATATTGTACCTGTTTAGAATTTATCACAAGAGGAAATCCACAGGTAAAATCTCTTGTCTATAAGAACACATTCTGCTCAGTGTGGGGAACATTTTATACTCTGAACACCCAAGCTGCTTAATTCCTAGTATGTCACATGTTCAGCGAGTCTCAATGCCTACCCTAAAGTGGGATTTTTCTACCATCCTCAGAGTCAGATATATACAAAACCTGTAGTCATCTTTTTAGCATGTTACACATTTTGCAATAGCATTAACCAAGTTTTTAGCCAGTATGTAAAATTAACATTTTTAATATAAATATTGCACCTTTTCCATGTATCTATTTGTACATCTTTTCCTATTTTCCAGTGAAGAATTATCTACTTTACAGATAAGCAACTATAAAGAATAACTTATTTGTTCAATGCTTTAGAGTTTCCTTAGTCCTTTCATTTACATGCCTTATGTTATCTTCTGTGTAACTCTGAGAGATGGATGTTGATATCTTATTTTTATAATGTAGAAATTAGACATTGAGAAACTATCTCCAAGCTCATACCTGACAGAATGAGACTGAAACCCAGACTGTCTGATTTCAGACTTAGCACTGTCAACTCATGAAGTGAATCAAAACCCAGATTTTCTGAGAGATTTCCAGAATAAGCTCATGGTGATCCTAATCTTTTTCAGTATACCAAGTACATCATGCTATCAAATTAGTACTTTATTGGAAACTCTCTTGTCTCCCCCATCATTTCATGCGCCTCTTTCCTATCTCTCTCAAGCACAAGCCTTTGATTATGTTGCTATTTCAAGCATTCCCTGGCCTCCCTATATGCTGTTCTCACATAAAGAATGCCCATCTTTCCAGTCCCCATGCAACCAGGCTCAATCGCATTCAGCAGAACTCAGCACAGGCCAGGGGCAGCCCCTTTCCTCCTTTGGAACCTCCCAGCTTCAGCATCCTTACTTCAGGGAGGAGCTCTTCTGGGTCTTCCCATAGCACCCAGCACTCATCACACTATTGCACTGCAAATATTTGCTTATAGTGTTTCCCATTAGCCCTTGATCACCTTGAGACAGGAATCTTCTCTTCTCTTGCAATCCAGCTCACTGTAGATGGTCAGCAATTAATAAATACATAATTATATAAATAAAATAACACCAAATCAATTAAGGTAGTTAGCACCCTTGAAGAAAT